ATTCTTCCCATCAATTAATACGAACTGAAACTAATGCAAATCTTATAAGTAGATTAGCCATATATTGGTATCTAACTTTCTCATCACTGGGAATTAGTCATCCACGGACTGAATATTAATCGATTAGAATAAATGTGTTGGTTATCATCAGCAAGGCGATAGTGGTTTATTGTAAAAATTCACTATTCATTCGTTTCATTAATTATCTACTAGTCTTGTTCACAATTCAAAGAGTAATTTTTATGAACAAGGTGCCAAGCAAAATTCCTCTAAATCACTAGATTCTAATAACCAGACAGTTACTATTCAGCGTAAAAGCGAATCTCTCACATCAAAGCCTGTTAACAATTACCAATCCGATAAATTCGAAAAGCATATGGGCTAGAGATTCAGAGCACTGTTTCGTTAAATTAGGGAAAACCGAACATTTCACCATATTTTTTGTATTTACGAAAGATTCTGCAAAATGTATCGATAAATACTTACCAAACTTCCTTTTGAATAATAAGTGTATAAATTAATACAAAAACTACATACATAATTCTTAATAAATAGTTAACTGGAAGATCATAAACGCATCCTGTTTAGGACCACATTAATCAAGGTTACGTGCTACATATGCGTTTAACCTTTAAGTAGGATAAGATACATAAGTAATGTAGGGTCCGTTAATATTTGTATTTATTAATCAATTTTAGTATAATACTTTGCCTTTCTAGCTAATTGTCGTCGGGCAATCATACTGTTATTCACTAATCTTGGAAGGCAAGTATTGACATATTTATAAGAAATTATTTATTCATTAAGTAATTGTTTCTGCACAACATTGTAAACTTCTTATTAAGTACAGCTTTGAAAACTAAGGTCAGTTTAGTTAACAACACATGTTCAGTCATCTTCGACTAAAGCGACTCTGTACAAAAGTCCGAAACTTACAAAATTGTCTGCATAGGATGTAGTTTAATCGTAATAAAACTCTGCCACCTATTCAAATCACAAACAACTAAACATTACAACTTCACTTATTTTTGGACAGATTAGAATTAGTCGATTATAGCTTTTTTTACTGCTTTATTAGTTGAAATATATGTATGGACTCTATCTCAAATTTATCTACTTCCTTCGATGCCATGATGTTGCAAGGTTTTCCCAAGAATGTGCCTACCTCTCAATATTTAAAGTGTCTCCAACAAAATTAAGTTCATTCTTAAAAACGTTAAAAACGCACTTAAGTATTAGGTGCCTAGTATTATCGACTACTAGTTAGTACTAACTTAGACATTTGATATAAATTTAAACAATCTTCCAAAAAACTGTCTAACAAATAGGCGTTCGGTAAAAACGACCCTTTATGAAGTCACCAAAATAAATGTATTCGTTTTGATAACTGTAATAAATAAATGCCTAAATAGTTCGTCTTTTTATTGGCAAGCTAAAACAACTACTGGTTTGTATCTCATAAAATATGACAACTTCGTACTTTAAAATGTAGTTCCGACATAGGTTTAGCAAGTTATCTTCCTAATTCGAAGTAATGATTAATTGTTATTCGTCCACAATTCCGTGGAGGCAAGAAAACTGTACATGCCTCAACCGTTACCTACCTCATTAATTTAGGAAACTTTTAAAAATATAGATAGACAAATTACGACCTAATAAACGATTCCGCTTGCTTCGTGATGTTTGCAACAGACTGGTTGGGGATGATACGTGACAACTCTATTAGTAGGAATCCATCTTTATCATGAACGTCACACATATGTACATATGTAAGTGAATGACATGATGTCATATGAGTGAGATACAAGACATGCCATTGACATGCCTTGTATGATTCGCAAGTTATTAAAATATTTGGTTAGCAGTTTTGTTTGTATAAGTATTGAAATTTAGTAACACATTTTAAGTCTCAAAGTTATGAATTAAAAAAAATATTTTTATTGTATGAAAAATATTTTGGTATGATCTCTTCAACTAGCTTTAAAATCGTGTATGAATATGTATATCAAATAAATCAATCCAATTACAAATACATAAAAATAGTAAACTTTTAAGAAATAAATATGTATGCATTTAACTATATTACAATATGTACATTACAATAAGGGAAAACAATAGCGCACCAGGTTTTCCTTGTCTATAAAAATTGGACGATGTTAAGTAACTAAATAAATAATACCTACACACATATATATTAACTCTTCTATTAAATTTAATCCATAATGATAATTTGGTGAAGCACATATGTATGTTTATTCCAAATCAAGCAGTCTTGGACTCCACGAATTTCATCCGTCTATAACTTCATTTTCTTCTCGAAACAATTCAATTTTAATTTTGTAAAAAATACATCATACATTGGGTGATGCAACTCTTCACTTCTATTTATCCTCAATTCCCAATCATCCAACCATATCAAAAATTCACAAATAATCTAAATTGCGTACCTTCTTTCCCAAAATTAGTAGTAACCTTTGGTATCCGGCTGTTTGGTGGACAATGTGAACATGGACTGCACTTATGATGCAAGTCAATTTTTCTAAGCACGGTCGGAGTTAGCACTTTTCGTCTCCTTCTTCTGTGGGGTGGGGTCTGTCCTCTTGATATGGGATATGAAATCAAAAAGATGACGAAGATATAATGAGAAATGTACATTTCATAAATCAAAAAATTAAGATTTTGCCGTGCAGTTCGGGCATTTTTGCAGTTCGTGTCTTACTTGCAAAAACCGCAATATCTTGACTAATTGTGGTTCGAATGTCATTAACAGAATTTTTCTAGAGTCCCAGGTAAGCTGCCCGCCGAAAAAAGAAATGGGTGCATATATTTTTTTGTAGCATGACAACAGCTTTAGCCAGAGCGGTGATCCCATCGGATTAATTAGGAATTGCACTATACTCTCTCTTTCCACCATTTGTCCCGATCTGCTCAAATGTAGGAGATATTGACCCTCAAAAATTTGCATAAAATATCGTTTCCATATATGCATGGCCCCTTAACCTCATATGCATAGCAACGAACATGTTAATCGGATCTACTGGACTAAAAAAATTTTACATTTGTACATAATATCGATTTCATAATGAAATCGATATTATGGGTTGGGTTGGGGTGTCCAAAAATTATTAGAATTGTAATGAAAATTTCATTACAATTCTAATAATTTTTAACAAGGGCCAAATTATATGTTTCTGTATATATTGGAAATTCCAATTAAAACTTGCAATTTGGTTTTCATTATGCGCATAACCCATGGTTGCTAGCCGAAGGAAAACATACAATTTTCATGAACATTTAAATTGCAACAATACGAATTACTTTATAATTTCCTTTCGCATTTAAGCGCAGCAATTATGGGCCCGCCGTCCTGCACGAGCAAAATTAAAATGTTCGGGAAGCTATTGGGACGAGGATAAAAATCCTTATAATTTTACAAATTATAACTTCAAAGATTTCATATAGTAGTCAAATTTGTTAAATTCACCGTTGTGGTCCAATTACTGTCATGCATATTCCCGTGTAGGAGGTCTGCCTTCAATCCTAACATATGGACGTCTTAAGACAATAAATTTGTATAAATTGTGTTTGGTTAGGTTGTGTAAATTGTGTTTGTGTAAATTTGTAAATTTGACCGATAGAAAGACGCGACATTTCCATGAAAGGTTTTCATCCCTTACTAGATACATCTAGCTTGGGTTAGCTTAACATATATCACACTAAATATGTAGCAGGCCGTACTCTTATTTAACAAAAATCTGTTCCCCCTCCTCAGATCTGTTCGTATTTCGGGCAATATTTACTTCCACCCTTCTCTCGTTTCATACCCCATCCAACCCAACATCCCTACTTTCCTCCCGCATTATACATACATCCAACACATTCAAAAGGTTGGTACATATATATTTACTTTCACCCTGTCAAATATACCCGAGCTGAAAATAAACCTCTCAGCAGATTTCGATCGACTGGGTACATATGCTAACCTCAGTATCCATACATCCCCCATAAAATATAAACATACATGTTTATTTATTAACAAACATATTTAATTAGAACATTTATATTTACCCACAAACGAAACAAGTTAACCACAACATGTTTAGTCCAGCGTGGAATCATGAAGCAGTCAACAAATTTCCACTTCAGGCCATCACTCAACGACTCAAAACAATTGAGGCCGAGGTATGAAATGGGGGAATACATTTCTCTAGAAAAATTATATAGGCAAATCTCCCAAGTTCAGTACAATTTAACAATTTTTTACAACATAAAGGGCCGCACTTTACTTAGCGTAATAATATATTCCGGTAGTGAATATGACTCAATTCGTAATGTATATATATGTATTAGCAAAGCAACAAATTTATTACCATACCGAAAACATTTTATAATCATTTTATTCAAATACAATATAAATTTTACCAATTGGCAATGAAGAACTACCGAATGTGTAATAAAAATCATATCTAGGTATATAACTTACAAATTTGAAGTTGAGTTATAGACTTAAAAATACAAAATGTTTCTATTGTCTGGTACAAAATTGGTAAAATAAAGCCATGCGAATTCATACGTTCAGAACTTTATATGAATTACCCTACGACTTAGTTTCAACCGTCTCAATTAATTTTTTATTACAAACGGGTGCTTATTTATAATATCTATTATCTAGAATTAATTTTATCCCAAATTTATAAACCATACATCTTTGCATATATCCGCAGGATTCAAAATTTCGCAAGACATGCCGCCAATTTCAAGAAAAGAACGAGTTAAAAATATCAAAAAAATTGGACCGCAACTTGATCTCATTAACCAACTACGTGGCCGTCCATCACCTCCACAGACTACTCCTTGCGAAGTATACGATAAATGGAGAAAAAAAATTATTAGAGGATTTTAAACAAAGGCTGGAATTCCAAAAACAAACATGTAGATGCATTCTATATTATTCTATGGCTATTCCAGCGATTTTATGTAAGTAAATATTTATCTGGATAGTATGCAGTGCATACAGCGTGTCCCATAAGTAACCGAACGTGGAAAATAAGTTTAAAAGGAGAATTACATATTAATATTTTCTCTAAATTCATCCAATCATTCATCCAACCTAAATTCATCATTCATTTATCTAAATTCAAATAATTATGCCACATAGTTGCAAAGTTGCTGATTATTAAAATTTTGCTAAGAAATTTAAATTCTCTTCCACATTAAGATACCAACGTATGAGACACCCCCTGAACACCAATCAATCATAATTCTGTATAAATTTCTCTGTTTCTATATCTCTAGTTCTACCCATCATTGCAAGTCATCCGACTTTCGGTGAATCCTTATATGACAAGGTTATCGCCACTCCGGCTCATCATATTTTACCTTTTTGGACGAAAGACGCCATCATATACGTGTTTCGAGTGATTTTGGTTTCGTCTTTTCTTCTGTTCTTGGTAATGTTTAAAATGTGGTATTTAAATAACAGGGTGACTCGAAAATGCTCACATTTTAATACATAACTATGCTCATAAATACTTTCACAATAAGATAATATCAACAATTTTTGTTTTACTTGACATGTCAAAAGTTACTAAAAAATGGCACATGGTGTCCACTGAGCTGTATTTTAAGCCACCCTATACAATTTCTGCAATAATTATGAAAATCCTTACATTACGTATACCTGTTCTTAGCTGTTATCTGACTGCATTTCAACTGCCAAGTGGTTACGAAAGTGCCGGAATAGAAGGTCTCGACTATCCGCGAGAAAATATCAAAACGGAGAATTGGGCGGGTTGTTTAAATGTGCCTGGAAATACGATGCAATTGTACCCACTACTAAAATACCGGTAACTCATTATCTTTCTAGATTATACAGTCTCAATTATCTGATAATCAGTCATTGCCAATTTGGAACGAGGTCGAACATAAAGTGATTTAACATAATGTGTAGTTATCTTTTTACGGTGCGGATATGTAAATATGAAAACTGATAGTTTGGTACTTTTTGATTTACATTTTCCTAGGTAACCAATAATTATCTGCCCAGAGCCTACATATCGAGTGAGGCTAGTAGTGCAGCCATCGCTGAAAGAAGGAGGAAATCTTGGGTACTGCAAATGATGGCATCAACGACGGTACATTACTAGTGCAAGGTGAATTGCAAAAATTGAAATGCAAAAACAAATCCAAAAATTTTGTCCGTTATTTACTATTATGTGTTCACAGCAGCACAAATTCTTCCCATAAACAGATTTTCCTTTTTAAACTTTACACGCAAGATAATCCATCAACATTAATATTTTAAATTAATTGCTTTAGACGTGCATGGTCATGCCCAATAGATTCGTGATGTTCACTACGTCTTGTTTAGTAGTTATCCCCCCCACCCACAAATTATACTCCTTAGGCTATACATAAACAATAATTTAACTTTTAAAAACTTTAGACCATAGTGACAAACCATATTCCTAAGTGTAGCAAGTAAATGATAAAAATGAGAAATTGCTATTTAATTTTATGATTAACATCGAAGCAATTTTATAAATAATATTTATGTCCATTAGGTCATGTCTATTCCCACCATCATCAGGAACATAGAATTTGACCACTTGTATACTCCATCCTTTCTGGAAATCATGGTGCTTATTTGATGCCCTCTCCATTAGTTAATAAAAGAATAAACAAACTTTCAAAATCTTCATTTCCAGGTTTTGGAACCCGCCTACTGGTTTGCAATGTTTTTAAGAGACGTAATGCCACCACCTGGCCCTATGACTGAAGAGGACGAAGTAACCCAAAAACTTATTGACGAGCGGTATGTTCAAAAATTTAAGTCTACAATACCCAGTTTAACAAAACTTACTAAATTTTAGATTAAGCAAAAGTAGAATTAGTTACCTATATGACCCAGAGGATGATCCAGTCTCACATCTTTTACTCTACACATCTACCGTTGCAGTACTTGTTCTAACGTTCCCTTTAATATCTTACTTGTACTGCACCCTCACACGGATACATTTACGGAAGCCTTCGGAAATCATTCGAGTGCAAAAGGTTTGTTCGCATACCATTATTCATCACAAATTAAAGTCAGCAATAAGTTAATTAACAGGAAGCCAATTTTCAAAAACTTACTGCTGGAAACATAACGTGACAAATTTCTTCCCTCCCGAAATAAATATTTATGTAGTCATCTCGCCCACAAACTTTTGTTACCTAACCTAACCTTTGATATCTAGGGATTGCTTAAGTCAACATTTTTTAACTACCTTAACATGAAAATATGTAAATTTGCAAAACATCCCGTTATTATTTTAGACATAAATTTAAAATATTATGTCCGGACTCACTTTCTAGTTCATCGCTGAGCGTGTGTATCCTGCCATTTGGTTCTGCAGTTTGCTCATTTGGGGATGGTACAAACCAACGAATTACGTTACTTAACCACTTGCTTGGACATTTCAATATTTTCAAATATATAATTACATGTAGCGTCTGTTTATTTATTCCAGGCAAATCAAGCTGCCACTGCTTGCATAATATTTGCACCTCTGCTGGGTACAACAAATGGAATGCAAGGGTTTAGCAAACGATTTAAGTTTGTCTTAATATGGCAAATTTTCGCACGACTATTCACAATATTTACATCCTGGAGAAAGAGTAAAGTAAAGAAATTATTAATACAAATTCTATCCATATCGCCTAAATTGAACGAATGTAAGGTCATGTCATAATGCCATGTTGAGTGACTACATAATGTGGTCATTCTACATTACCTCTACATCTCCTATAATTTCATGTTCTGCATAATTGGAAATAATTAATGGAGAAAAAATTAATCCTGTCCAACTATTCGCACAAATTTATCTTGTCGCCGAATTTCGTAATTCCATGTAATTTACCGTAACGAATCGTCATCCTTACAGTTGATCCGTGCCGTCGTCGTTAGATGGTGCTCAGGTATTAAATTAGTGGATGAAGTATTCAAGGCTGTAAGCAAATCCGTTGATAAATAATTAATTTCCAATAAAGAAATATTTCGTGATATTATGGAGAGATTTTTAATGTAATTACACTAGTAATTCAAGGATTTTGGACCAGTTGTCCATCCATGAACTCCAGTAGGACCTCACATTTTGAAATAAGTATGCATGAGTAATTCCTGTATTGAAAAAAAGTATATGCTGTCAAGTTTAAATGGTTAAATCTGGGAATTGAAAATATTTATTTCTAATAAGGAATAACTACTATTATTTTGTAAAACCTAATTACATAATTAATCTGTTGTAAGATTGGTCGTGTCCGGGATTTGCAATACGTATCCATCTTCTACACGGATCACTAAAGGTTTAAAGATTCGCTGGAACATCTACATACACCATGTACCGGATCGTTCTGGGCCAGTATGCCTAAACAAAGTTTGAATGTTATTATCTCTGTAGATAATTAAATTTGAAATCTGAAATTTTTATGGGTTATACCCTAGTATCTAGTGTGTCCACCACCGCTGTCTAACATTTCCGCAATCCGATTCTTAGAAGACTGTGATAGTTTTTCCAAAAGTTCAACCGGAAGTGAAAACCACTTTTGGCGGAAAGGAGCCTCCAGTGTCTCCAGATTCGTAGGTTGTGGATCTTCATATGCCGAATCCTTGAGAATAGACTACAAATTTTCAATTGGATTGAAATCCGGATTATTTCCAGGCCACACCCCCTTTCCCCATGTGGTACAAGGTAGACTATCCAAAAGCTGTTTTGTTGCCTTTGAAATGTGGCTGGGGGTTCCATCTTTTTGAAAAGTATTTTTTTCTTAATTGGAAACAATTGAGAAGAGTCCATAGCATCAGAATATATAGCCAAATTGACACTCTGTAGTCCTGCCCTGTAATGGTTTGCCCCTTTGGTACTATAGGCAGGTTGCTTACCCCTCTTGCACAAAATCCTCTAGCAACCATCAGTTTCGGGCTGTGCTTCGGTCTTAAAAGGCGCGGAACGTCATTTTTTCTTCTGTCCTATTCAGGGGGGTCCTTCCGAATAATTCTATCCATGGTTCATCCCAAAAAAAAATTCCGGCTCGTTTTTCTTGAACACATCTTCAGAGGTCCAAGAAATCCTGTTCTCGCACCATTTTGCAGAATTTTTTCTATCTCCTATATTTTTTTCACTCAGTAAAGGTTTTTTTGGTCTTCTATATGCCTGTCGTCCCCATTTTGTTATGTTCAGAACATTTAGGAAAGTTGTCTTGCTGATTTTCTTCACTTTATTCCGATAATTTAGACGCTTTATATACTTACGCCAAGAACTATTAGATTTCCGTTACATATGGAACTTAATTGATCTTTTTGTTGAAGGAGGCAACTTTTCCGACTTTTCTGGCTTCATTTTGCCCATGAATTTTTCTTTGTTCTTCCAGACACGAACGGTTTCTCGAGAACATCCTATTTCTGACGCTATTTCTATATCAGTCATCCCTGAGGCCCTGAACGCTTTTATATGAGCACGAATTATCTCACGACTTTCCTTAACCTTTGTCTTCATTGTGCAAAGAATTTGAAGACTGCAAGTCATTTGTAAAAAAAGATATAGACGATTTTCTCATTGTCCGTGAGGAAAAACCATGTGGCCCAGATCGATCCGGTACATGGTGTATGTAAGCAAATTAATTTTGACACGTATCTAACTAGAATTATTTAGTGCGACGAATTTATAAATAAATTTGTGTGGCAAAGTACATACGTATTTGTGAAGAGTTTTTTTGACTCTTTATTTTATCCAGGTCCAAAATGTTTAATTTTGTGATATAAATAATTTTCTTGTTTGGTTTAGTGGAGAGATAAAATAAATAGTAAAGTTTGATATTGGATGCATAACCCAAACTGCCTGACAGGACGGCAGGTTGCTAAGGAGTGAGAAAAGCGTATTCTCCGTCCCCTTGTTTCTAATTGTGGCTGGCCTTGAATGCTAAAGAAGGGTGGAAGGAACCCACAAGACGGGTGGAAGTGCGATTGGAAACGGAGGCAAATTTGTGAGCCCTGAAGCTAGACAGATAGAGTCTTACAGGTCTTCTATATGCGATACGTGCTCGATTACTCCAATTAGAAAATGAGATGCCCTCAGGTACCACCGCGGTTAATGAAGTTACCTCACTGGAACGTGTATAAGGAGATGGAGATGATAGGGGTGAACATCCGTTCCATGTAGCAATCTATTTTACAGATGTTGTTTTATGGTGAACATTTATAAATGGGGTCGTTTTTAGAGTAAATGGATACAAGAACTGGTCTAAATATAAATACCGACCATATGTAATTTCTTTTGTAAGGATGGTCGCACATGCACCTGTTCGCAACACGTATTTACCAATCCATACAATGGTCTGTATTGTACACTCTAAGTAAAATTAGTACTCCACGGTATAGATATATCACTCTACCGCGTGGTAATGATATGGTAGTAGAGCAGTACTACATGGGTAAAAATCCAATACCGCTTGTGGTCCATGCAAAAATATTAGTTTCTTCTTCATAAAATGTCTTTCATAAAATTCTCAGTGTGCCCTCAATTGTTGACCGATCTCAAAAACTTGAACTGTTTTAGAAACTTTGGACAATTTGTGAAATTCTGGGTGCCCAGATATTCAAAATATGATTGCACTCCCGGGAAATTAAGTTGAAGGCGGAAGATTTAAAAAAACTACTAAAAAAGCTTTTACTTGGACCATAGGATCAAATTTGTTACTACAAAGTATTATTTTAATACTGGATTTATACCAATGTTCAATACCACCGCGGTAGAGTCATATATGTATTCCACTCAGTATTTATTTAATACCTTTCTAAGAGTGTAAAATTTGACGCTTTTCTTTATGCACTTATTTTCAAAAAGATGGTGCAATTTTAAAATTCCGATCATAGTAGTCTACTGCGTTCAGGAATAAAAAGTACAGAATGCGTATGCAATTAAAGTAAAAACTCGTTTCACAAACATATATTACCTTGTGACATGGAATTTTGCGATATTTTGGGACTAAAGTAATTGATGGTTTTCAGCTGATGGTTATTACGCTGAAATTGTAAAGTGAATTGTTTCTATTTTCACTAGGAATCAATTTTATTGAACCCAAAGAAATAATATTTTCTTCCAAAAAAATAATAATAATTTTGCCAATCATGAAATCTACACAAATTGGAAAATTTTATCGAAATCTTTAAAAATAAAACTGATTCAACTTGCATAAATTAACGGAATTTTTTCTTTTTACCTTTGTTTCATTTGGTAGCGGCGTGTGTTCTTGCTACATACATACCCAGTTTCCCATTTGGTTTGAATGTTAAACATGTAAACGTTCATTCACATCTAAAACTTTTCTTTGCACATTGAAAATTTTACTGGTTGCTTAGCTTGCCTCGTAAAATATTCAAATTTTATGTACTTGAGTCTGATTCTACTGGAATCATTCTATTCTCGGATAGAAGGAACTAATTCGTTTGGCACGTCTCTCTTACTTCTTGTCTCATAAATTTTAAAGCGTTGACAATGTTTGTGTCGGTTGTTCGGTGTCGGGAAACACTCCTCTAGTTTTAACTCTTTATTGACGAGTGCTTGTATAGAATTAAGAATAAGTTGGACTGATGAAGTAAATACCAACGCAAGTGTTATTACTGAATCGGAAGGGGAAATGTGTCAAATCAAATTAAATTTACTACTGTTGGAATTTAGGATTTAAGGAATGCACTTATACTGTACATATATATGTACGAATTTGACTGAATATGTTGAGATTGTGGAAGAATTTTGTAATTGACGAATAAGAGGATCGATCCGCTTTTTACGATATAAAGACCGCCAACAATACAAACATAGGTTTTTAAATGCAAGAGGTCTTTTAATTATCTTGGTTCCAAACTAACAGTGCGAATGAAATGCATATAATCGAATTACGCAATATGTTGGCAAATCTTGCCACGAGGAAGAATTTTTTGATACTTTTGTAAGTTAAGTGAGGATTTGGGTGCATTCAATCGATTAAAGTTGAATTCGGGGATCAAAAGGGTAACAAACCTAGGAGTAAAGTAACCGTGCAACAAAATCTAAAGTGGCATAGCCAACATTGTGATTGAAGTGACTTACTTATTTCGCAGGGTTTATGGGTTCACAGGACACGGTAATTTTTGATAGATTGGCCACCTATTTTATAGAGATGCGAAACAATATGTATGCAAATGAAATGATTTTTTTATGTATTCTGTACTCTTATTCTGTACTAGCGAATAAGCCCGTCTTACGACGGTCGTAAGTCTTTTATGACAATATGTGTTTAGCAAACATCAACATTTGAATTAATCAATGAATCATTAAACATAAAGCAAAGGTATAAAACACAAAAAGTTCAAAGTTTTAAATCAAAATGAGAACTAACTTTATTAGTACATAAACCCAATGTAATTTGACATATTAGTTACATGTAAATTTAAGATTTACAACAGTATATTTAAAATACTAAAAAACCAAATTCAATTAAGAACTTCTTTAAAAACAACATTTTTTGTAAATACTTTTTCACTGCCTATAATTAACCTTCCTTGCTTTTTATTAGTAATCACTTCTACATTCACGTCACTCGATCGTCGAACTCTTGAGAAAGCAACATACAACTGGCCGTGACTAAAGACAGGTTCAGGAAGATAAATGCCCGCCAATTCCAAGGTCTGACCCTGGGACTTGTTGATTGTCATTGCGAAAGCAAGATTTATTGGGAATTGGCGACGGCAAAGAACGAATGGTAATTCTGGGTTTACCGGCGCAAGCTGAATTCTTGGAATGAAAACTATTTGCCCAGCAGCCGAGCCGGTAAGAGCCTGGGCTGTTATCAAATTAGTCTGCAGCTTGGTGACAATGAGGCGAGTTCCATTACAGAGTCCACGTTTCGTATTCAGGTTCCGTAGAAGCATAACTATAGCTCCGACCTTGAGACACAGGACATGAGGAGGCATACCGGAAGGGTGGAGTTCGTTGAGAAACTCAGTTGGGTAGAAGACAGTATCGTCACCAGATTCGTCCTCAATTGAATCCACACTCAGGTAGGATACCTCCTCTCCATGAATCATGTCCAATACCTGCCGATTTATCTTGTGGGCGTCTTCATTTCTAGGGCAAAGGATAGCTCGGTTAGATAGAGACATGACTTCATCAAAGCTTTTCAGCATCTTCCCAAAAATTTCTTCAGCAATGGAGGTTTTTACTATCATACATTCGGGTATTTCGACCATGTCGTCGGGTAGAGAGTCAGAGTTTAGGAGTTTCCCATTCTCCCGCTGCATAAGCTATCGACTGTAATCAGGGTCAACTGACCGAACATTTTCGGTCAATATCAGCTTTTCGAATTTATCCCAATGCGTGCAGAACTTAAGGGAGCTCTCAACAATCGCTGACCTAGAACCATGCACTACAACGGGTAGTGTTTGTCTAAAGTCACCTCCTAACAAAACCACTTTTCCTCCAAAGGGGATCGCACTTTGCATGATTTCTTTAAGCAATCTGTCTACTGCGGATAAGGCGTGCGTCGGTGCCATCGTGGACTCGTCCCAAATAAACAGACCTGCTTCCTTGATTAATTTGGCTTCAGGAGGGTTCAGCCGCATGGAAGAAACAGAGTTTTCGACCAATGGAACAGGTAATTTATACTGTGAATGGTATGTTCGGCCTCCAGGCAGTAAGTTCGCAGCGATTCCAGTCGAGGCAATAGAAAGGACAACCTTATTATCTCCTCTCAATGTGCTGATCAGTGCTTTATAAAGAAACGTTTTTCCACTTCCGGCAGGCCCATCAATGAAGAAGCATTTTGCTTGGACTGATGGAGCTTCAATCGCCTCGAATACTTTGGTGAAGGCGGCCATTTGTCCATATTTTTCTCTGTAGGGTTGTAGTTTTTCTGTACAAATTACTGAACTGTATCGTTACTGTACAAGGACAGAAATTTATACAGTAATATTTTTCTCTTTAGGGTTAGAGTACAGTAAATAGTCTAGTTAAATTTTTTGCTCCTCCACCAGTGGGATTTATCTGTACCAATCACTGGACTAATACAGTGTCTGGATTAGTACAGTAAATAGTCTAGTTAAATTTCTTGCTCCTCCACTGGTGGGATTTATCTGTACCAATCACTGGACTAATATAGTGTCTGGATTAGTACAGTAAATAGTCTAGTTAAATTTCTTGCTCCTCCACCAGTGGGATTTATCTGTACCAATCACTGGACTAATACAGTGTCTGGATTAGTACAGTAAATAGTCTAGTTAAATTTCTTGCTCCTCCACCAGTGGGATTTATCTGTACCAATCACTGGACTAATACAGTATCTGGATTAGTACAGTAAATAGTCTAGTTAAATTTCTTGCTCCTCCACCAGTGGGATTTATCTGTACCAATCACTGGACTAATACAGTGTCTGGATTAGTACAGTAAATAGTCTAGTTAAATTTCTAGTTCCTCCACCAGTGGGATTTTATCTGCACCAATCACTGGACTAAGTTAGAACAGTACTTGGTACAGTAGTTAGTAGTACTAACGACTGTACCAATTACTGTACCAATTACTGTACTAATAAATGTACCAATTACTGGACCAATTACTGTACAAAGTACTGGACCAACTACTGTACCAATTACTGTACCAACTACTAGACCAACTACCGTACCAATTACTATACCAAAGGACATTCTGAATTATAATATAGATTACACCCATTCGTCGCCCAACACCCCCAACACCTGTGTCCACCACACCCACTTTGTCTGCCTCACCACCTCCTGGTCAGTGGCGACATTTTTATTTTGATAACTGACTTATCAACTTTCTCCACCCTAGTCCCCTTTTCGTCTCGATTTTTATGCTTATCATCACTTTCACTGCTTTCACTTCCATTGCAGACGGAACTGAAAGCGCGCAGACATTCCCGATTATAATATAGATTCTTATTCAATAGCTAGAAGAATTCAAATTTTTGCATTTTTGTTGCGATCCACTTGTCCCTATCAATAGCCCCGCGCTTCCAGTAAAGTAGGTGGAGATACGCTCCGCCACCACCAATCATGCCAAACTTCCGTTTCGCACAAACTCCACCCACTTCCGTAACAAACAGACATTCTGAATTATAATATAGATTCTTAAGTCTGTAATACAGACTTAACAAATATATTTCAAGGGTTTAGCTGATTTTGCCAAGAGTCACGTAACCAAACCTACCCTAACTTTTTTGTACAATTTGACGTCGAAGATTTACGAGACAAAATGGTTTGGGGTAGTTTGCCAGGAATCGTGTAATTTATGTAAGTTCGCTCGGAGTTAAGTAGAATATCTGTAATGTGGTTGGCATGGTTTAGGATTAAGACAGGCGTAACCTTTTTTTATAAAAGTTACCTAACCACAGACAATATTCATTGTTTTTTAGAATTTAAGAAGTTGACTGAGGAAGTTTTTTCTAATGATCCTACTTACATACAGTACAACTTACGACGTCCATCGATCAAGTAATTTTTAGATCAATGATTTTGGAGACGGATGATAATTGAATTTAGCCGGAATTAAACCTTCATGTAAATATAAATAAAAGTTTTGTGTTAATTATTTTGTAATAAATTAAACAATTTTCTGAACAAGTTAGTATCACATTGTTGGAAAGAAATTGTAGTTTGTTTAAAAATCCGTAAAAGATTTGAGAAAAATTTATGACGTGTTAAACAAGCATAAAAGTGTCTATTGTTAAAATATTCTGCGGCATCTTTATTTTATCCCATTGTGACAATAAAGGTGTAGAACTTTCCACTCTACATGAATTTATTGGATGGTATTGGTCTGAATGTTATTGTTTTGTCTATTCGTGGAAGCATGACATTGGGAGAAAATGTGAGTCAGGAAATTTAACGATTGAGATGAAGCTGCCAAGTTTTAAGTATGTCCCCTTAAAAAACATTTCACAATGCTGCGTAACCTGAGCAAATTACTGAAAATTTTTACATATGCAGCTTTTGCATGCGTTTAACGGATTTTGTGAAGCTTTGCAATGTTTATTAGACCATACTAATATGTGGATTTGTTAGTTAATTAATTACTGAGCTGTTACTACACTCTCAATAAATTTATTAAAACTTTATCTCCTGTGGAGGTACTATGCGGCTCTACCGCGTGGTAACGTTATAGTAGCAATTTATCAACTTGTAGTAACAACTTACCTCCGGTTTTTGTTACCCTGCGGAGACAAAGGGGCCTGGGCAGGATTTAGTCTCTGTATATATACTACCCGTAGGAGGTAAATTATTACCTAGGCGGTAGAGCCGCATAGTACCTCCGCTGTAGACAAAATTTTAATAAATTTATTGAGAGTGTACATTTTGTATAGACAACTTTAAACTTTTGAGAGAAAACGGGAAGACCATTATTAAACCGATGTTGACGAAGAATTAGAAAAGTCATAAAAAGTAGAGTGAAGGAAATCCAGTAAGATTTTGTGAAACTTGCATAGTTGACTATTGCATGAATTCGCTTTTAATGTCGACATGGAATCCATGTCATGGATTGTTGTATTTGTCTCAAGCCTTCACAAGAGTTGGAGCGATTAAGCTCATAGTCTATCAAAGTATTTTTTGCCCAGTTTCTTTCATGCGCTAATTAGTATGAACCCGTATGTGCGGTATACACGAAGATTAAGAGGAATTAGGAGAACCGCATTTTTTGTGAGATTCCAAGCATTCGGAAAGTGGGTAATCCCGATGAAATTTATGACACTGTTGTTTGAAAAGAGTTCGTTCGACTTGGATTTACTTTTTGTTAAAAATTTCGGGTTCACTTGGTAGTTAGTGTTTGAGTGGGTGACAAGGAAGGAAATCGTTTTGGGAATTTTGGATAAAATTTGCATTTTATAGAGAAAAGGTAAAAAGCATTGTTGCTAAATAGTAAGAATTTTGGCGCGATTATAAATTTTAAGGTGTGAGGTATTTAGGATGAATAGGGTGGTCAAAAAAAGGTACACTGCAATTAATTTGGTAAGAATTATTACCTTAAATTCGTGATGTATATGACTCTACTTACAACGACGGTAATAACGCGAACTAAATTTGGTAAAGATTAGGTAATAATTTCTACTAGGTCGGTGATATTATTTTACCAATTGGAGCTCAAACTTGTGAAATCTTTTCTAAAAATTCGTAACGAATATTCAAAAATTATTTTCAGTGTATGTAAGTTTACAAGTTTACACAGAAGATTGAACAAAAATTTATATATGTTTTTAAGAATTAGGAGAATAAATTTATTGAAGTAGTTTAATTTTTGTTATTTCCTACGAGAAAAAATTAGATTTCCAAAACGTATTTTTTTAATTGACGGGAAAGGGAATAATATTAAAATTAAACGATTATAATTTTTTCAGATGTCGCATAACCGCCGTATTCCCAGGGCCGAGGTGGAAGAAGCCTTCAAAAAGTTGGCGACTTACAATGGGAAAGATGAGACGTGCCAGGTGTGCGATTTGGGTCCTTTGCTGACCGCGCTTGTATACATCTGCACCCCAGAACAGTTCACGGGATATGTGAATCTATGGATCACAAATTACAATGGGATAATCCCAATGGATGTTATCGCAAAATTAGTGGCCTCGATTGATGACAATGTTGAACTGATGAGGATCCACGTCACAGCGGGGGACAGAGATAAAAACGGATTTATTGATGAGGCGGAATTTAAAAATATTGTACCCGTGTTGTTAGCACATAATCCAGATTTTCCGAGAGTTGATTATGAAGATTTTGTAAAGCAAGCGGACACGAATAAAGATGGGAAGGTTAGTATTGACGAGGCCGTTGAATGGTTTGCGGGCAGGGGGAAGAAGTAAGGAGGGTTTAATGTAATTAAGGAGAAAAATAAATATATGTGGGGTTATTATGAGATAAAATTAACATATATGTGTCAACATTTGTTGGAATATGTATCCCAAGTAAATAAAACAAGGTTGTTCGATTATGATTGTTTTGATTATTTTCTTACTTTACAAACATTGTAGACAAGGGTTTTATAAATGTTAAGGATTGTGTGTTAGGTGAAATTCTGGGTTTGTATTGTGCAATGAATTTTTTTTAAACTATGTATCCCCAATCAAGATTTCATTGATATCGCACAAAATTCAATACTATCAAATTCTTTGCCAAACTAATACTGGAAATTAAGCTTAATACCTGTGGAGGACACGGCTAGGACTGCCGTTAGACTGACAATTAGTACACCAACAATTTTTAACATTGTCGAGAAGACGGGTGAACTTTTGAGTTGGGTTAGGTTACCGTTACCTTCCCGATACCATTACTCTACTGAATGCCATATTTGGGCTTCCATAATTTAATCTCATGTTTAGCCAACAAATAAGATAGTTCTGAGATTGAAATGAGAGATATTTTAATCCCAAAATCCATTATCAGTTATTGTCCTTTTTAAGTTGCGTGGTCCGCGGGAATAATGTATGCAAAAGCTAGACCGTCACAGATTTTTTTATTTCCGTTTTTTGTCACGAAATAATTTGCAATTGTTGCTATACGATGGGAAATATAATACCCAATTCATAACTACGTAGCTACATATTTATGTAAGTCTATTCTTCAGTTTAAGTATTGTAACGCCCCTTATTCTAATTTGGGATTACGTGCCACACTCAGCATGTTTGGTTTATTTATTTATCATTTATTATTTATGGTGACTTGATTTAAACCTTGTGAAAAAGTCGGCATGAAAAATCCTGTTAGAGGGCCTCTATCTTATCCAGGGTTGCGAAACAATTTAGTTATCAATTCCGTTAAATACAACATTTTAAAAATGGCTTTATTTCAATGCCGGACGTGGGGCGAGCTGTGAGGAAATATTGAAGGACAAGAGTGGACAAGGCTTGATTAATTTTAAAGGGGAGATAAGGTTTCAAAATTTGTGTTTCTTTTGTCTAAACCTTGTCCCAAGATCCTAACAATTTCACAGACCACTGTTTCTAGTCCCCTTTATACATAAGTATCGACGACCTCCATGAGCTATCGCCGGTGAAAAACATTTGATTGTAATTTCCTGGATTTTCTTTCCAAATCCTATTAGGGGTGTTAAAAGTAGTCGATTTTGTAGGTTTTAAAAAATCTCAGATCCCCCCGTGGGGTCACAGCATGTCAAATTCGAAGAAAACCTGTATACCTTCCTCCTTTCATTGTGAGGAAACTAAATGAGCTACATAGCTCAAACTTGACACATAACCTTAAGGGGTCAGTCTTGAATCATTCTGGTCTTCAAGTAGATATCTGCATTCTGTGACCTAAAAATGACCTTTTGTTTCGTAATAGTAAAAATATGTATCAGTTTAGTGACAATCCATAAAAATAAAAACATATAATATTATTAACTGCTTAAAATTAAATATTATTTGGTCCCTAGAAAACTGTGGATTGTCACTATACTTACACATATTTTTACTATTACGAAACAAAAGGTCATTTTTAGGTCACAGAATGCAGATATCGAGTTGAAAATCAGAATGACTCAAGACTGACCCCTTAAGGTTATTTGTGTCAAGTTTGAGCTATGTAGCTCATTTAGTTTCCTCACAATGAAAGGAGGAAGGTATACAGGTTTTCTTCGAATTTGACCTGGTGTGACCCCACGGGGGGATCTGAGATTTTTTAAAACCTACAAAATCGACTACTTTTAACACCCCTAATAGGATTTGGAAAGAAAATCCAGGAAATTACAATCAAATGTTTCTCACCGGCGATAGCTCATGGAGGTCGTCTATCATAATAACTGCATGCTTAGAGTGGTGATACACATTCTTGAAGAGGAAATTTTAACGAAGTTTGTTAAATGTCGTTATATATTGACGTTTACGTGCGTCAATACCTCAATGGTAGAAGTCCGTTTTATTTGCACTATATATGCAAACCATAAAGTCAAGATCATTTATTTATTAACCTCTCCTAGAAATTGTGAGCACCCACCTCGGCAATGGATGTCCCATCTATACATGAGCGGAGCCTTGTTGTGCTGACATTGACAGACCCCTCCCAAAAAATATGTGGCATCGAGTTGACATTTTGATGTGTAATTATAAAGGGCAAAATAGAACAATTTGGATTGCAATGGGATGTGCAACTTGTTCGTATTAAAAGCCAAATAGGCTGAAAATCAGCTTTATGGAGTATTTTACCGAGCAAAAATTGACACAATTGTGGTCAGACTAGAGTTATTAAATTAAATAGATTTATTGGTTGATATCACTTCTTAACGAATAGAGGTAAGGAATACGTTATAAATGGTTACTGTTGTAGCATACATTAGGGATTCATAAATATGATATTGATAAATTGTGGATTACAAATTACACATAATTTACAAACCTAGTTAGGATTACGGACTAGGGATTACAATAAAATATAAATTTTTCGAGGATTGCTGGATTACGGATTATTTTCAATATAACCTGCCCATGCCTGTCAATATTACGAATTATTTACACATAGACCGAATCCTGTTACAACTTTTACCCGTCTTACAACTTGACCTACTTAAAAATCATGAATTTACAAGGCCATTTATGCATTTATTACAAGTTTATGTTTGCAAATGCATTTGCACACCAATTGGGAATTTTAACATTCCAGAGACCCGTTCGTGCGTTACGAATTTAATGTTCGTTCCGTTGGACCTTGTTTGGAATATGAAAATGATTTCAAGTACCAGCACATCGGTAAATCTAATGAATTTCTTTATTTTTTTTACACATTTCTGCACATGTTTCTCATTTAAGGGATTTAGCATTTTTGCCCCTAAGCTACAGCCAATACACGACCCGTCTCGGCGTAAAAGTCGTCAACTGCTTGTTCTTTTTCCAAAGAGTGGGTCCATCCTTGAAGAAATATTTATCAAAGATTTCTCCAGCTCGGCCGAAATCTGTCACTTGCACGAGTCTAAAAAATAAGTCGTATTGTTAAAAATGGTAGACTACATCATGCAGCACAAAAAATTAATGGGTTTTAAAAGAACATCCATGTTGCACGTTTTTTCTATATGTTTGTGCCTTTTACAACGCTGGCTTTGTATTCAACATATACCGCGTAAAACGCAGTAAAAACACAAAAATACAATTGGTCAAACTTGCATAACTGATTTTGTGTGGGTTAATTTAGTGGGAAAAACATACATTTACAACGAGGTGATCCATGATTGAGTTCTTTGTCCAAGCCCCGGATTTAAACTCTCCCACCGAACTGACCTCCGTGACTGTGCAACTGTCCAGAAACTTTCCGTCCTCGTCAGCAAAGCGCAAGAGGTCGAACAGGATCCCGGAATAGCAGGGACTCTTGCGGCAGGATGACTTGGCCACTGCCTTGTTGGATAAAAGGTAAGACGCGTTCGAAATTACCCAGGGATGATCCTAGTACGTGCAGACATATTTACATACATAAATCGTGTACCGGTTAGTTTAATGTCATGTTATATACAATGTAGAATATTATCAGGGAAAAAGTTCGTAAATTTCAATCAGCTACCGAAATTGTACCTCTGAAATTTCGATAACGAATTGAAATTGACGAGTTTTTTTTCTATCGAAAAATCTCCCATTATGGTGTGGTGACCCTCTAATCGACGCTGGTCATATCTTGTAATATTCGCTAAATTATTTAAATGGGAATTCAAATATATGCAGGAATGTATGTAATCCAAAATTAAATGGAGTTGGGCATTTAATTGTGACTTGATTAAAACTTGGTGAAAAGTTGACATAAAAACCTTGATGAGAGGCTACTCTCTTAGCCAGGGTTGTGAAACAATGTAATTTTAAGTTCCATTAAATACAATTTGTAAGAAAGATATCTAATTCACTGAACGTGGGGCGAGCTGGGAAAATGCAGGAGTGGATGAGGCTTGATTAGCATTTAAGGGAACGAAAGTTTGGAAATTTCTGTTTCAGTGGTTGAAACCGCGTCCCTAAATCCTCGCACTTTCACTGCCGCTGCTTTTAGTCCTCTGTGTAATGGAGTATCTTAATAACTGCAAGTTTTGCATGGTAATATAATTTTTTCGAGATGCTTTTTTAAAGAGATTTGTTAAGAGTTATTATGTATTGATAGGGTGGATTAATATTGAGATGTGCGTACGTATGTACCTCAATGGTAGAAATCCGTTTTATTTGGACTACATCTGCAAGCCAAAGTCAAGATCATTTATTTATTAACCTCTCCAACAACTCTTGAGCACCCACCTCGACAATAGAGGTCCCATCCATACATGATCGGAGCCTTGTTGGGTGGACATTGGCAGACCTTTCCCAAACAATTTGTGACATTGAGTTGACATGTTGATGTGGAATTACAAGTTCCCAAATAGTCGGGTTGGGGTCCTCCAAACGAGTACATTAAATAATTCAAGATATGTAATTTACAGCATAAGATGCGGGTAGGTTTTTTTCTAATCAATTTATAAGTTTTTTAATTCTTTGTATTTTGTGCAATGCCATTCATAGCATTCAGATTTTGTTGGAGTGTATGTAATCATTACCTTACAATAACTATACAATGAGTAAATACACATAATGTTAAGAATACAAATGATTTCAACAACACAAAAAGGTTGTTAGTGCTTGCTTGTACAAGTTATACAATACTATAAAATTCTTTGCCAAACTTATACTGGAAATTAAACTAAATACCTGTGGAGGACACGGCTAGGACTGACTTTACGCTGACAATTAATACACAAAGAATTTTTAACATTGTCGTGAAGACGGGTGCACTTTTGAGGCCTTTCTCGATACCAGCTTATGGCAAGATTTAGTCTACGATTTATAAGAATTTGATCTATTAGAATCACACAGATGACAAGTTCCGGCCGAGCAGGAGAGATCTTTGATAAATATTTCGTCAAGGATGGGCCCACTCTTTGGAAGAAGGAGAAACAGTTGACGACTTTTATGCCGAGACGGGTCGTTTATTGGGTGTAGCTTTACCCGGGTGTAGAAATTCTTGTCCTTGCAGGAAATTTTCCTATATAAATGTGTATATGCAGAAATGGGAGCAGTAATGAATAAAATTAGGTGGATTTGATGATGTGCGGGCTTTTGAAATCGTTTTTGTATGTAGTACGAATAAAACCCATCCTCCCACTATTTATCTGACAATCTGCGCCATAATTATTCAAAAAATATTTATTCATTTTAAGCTTCGAAAAAAATATTCATTCCTTATTCATCATTATTCACTTTATTCAAAATTTACCATATTAGCCGAAATGCCTTCATTTAGTAATTTAGTCTCACAATGACCAATTTCTCAGACCCACGGGAGTAAAAAAAGATTAGTTGACATCTAAATATTTTGATCAAGTATGTTAAAAATAATTACTGCAGCCCGTGCGTTCGATTTATGCCGCGAAAGTGCAAACGCGTTTGCCGGGAAAAGTTTATCAGGAAACCGAGAAACTGACAAGTTAACCCTAGGCAAGCGACCTAGGGAAGGATCCGCAGACCTAGGATAAACTTTTTACAATCTGTCCCTAAAAAAAAAAAAGAAAAGGTCCGACAAAAAAAATGGGACCGGAACGGAAATTCTGCAGAAAATTTTATTTTGGGTACCGGGAAAATACATGACCTAGGCCTGAGTAAAAATTTCCGTTTGCCGGGAAATTTTCACAAATCGCACCCACGCTGCAGCCAATTCTTAATACTGGTTTTGAAAAAATTCAAATACGCCTAATATTTGCTGGGTGGGGTTGGGTTAGGTTAGTTACCTGTGATGGTAAGGATGGCTAGCGCAAGACCACGGGAGCGAAGAGGACGAGTGGGAGATAATTGGATAGTTTTGCGGTGGAGAACTCAGTAACCATTCGTACGAACAAAAAGGTTGCGCTCCTCCTGTCTGCATATGGCAATTCATTCCCCACAAATATCGTTGACTGTTGACTGTTGAAAGTGATTTTTCACGAAAACTCCATCACTTTATTTAAAACTTCGAATATCGCAAAGAATTTGATATATGTTTTTAATTTGTACAGGACGCAATCCTTACTCGATGCGCACCCCTATAGCATGTTATTGGAATAAATTTATAATTAATTATTGATCCCTTAAAATACAAAACACGAACACCCTTCAATGTTCAGTACCAAATTGTAGAAAGCTTTTAGCACGTAAGTCAATCCATATCAAATATTTATAGGTATAAGAATCGATATCCAACTGAAATACCTTGTGCATATGTAGAAGTAACTTTTGCTCAGTTTGAACTGTTCTTAGAAATTCTATTGTACCAAATTCAAAAATTTATTTCTTCTTGTATATTTCGAATAGGAATCGTGTTTTCATGATTTATGTGGAAAATTAGAATGAAGCACATCCGCTTCCAGATACTTTGTAGATTTTTGCTTTTTATGATTTCGGTCTTTGTACCTGAAAGTTCCACCTTGAACTTAACCAAAACCCTATTTCAATACCTAGACCCAAATTGTCATGTAATCCTTGCCCAGCACAACAACTTCCAACATTCACAGCATCCTCTATCTTTCCCGTTTTCATTCAAAAACGGGATGTATATATTTCACCTACCTCAGATTAACATATCCTCCTGGATTCGTTATGGAGGCCCTGCTCTAAACACTTCCAGTGTTCCCCCTGGGATCTTCTCAGCTATAGAGAAAACAAAGATTCCTTGCTCCATAAGCGTCATTGTTACGCAACGTTCGGATTTTAAGCACAAAATTGAAGATTTGTCAGTTGAAGCATTTAACAATATAGGTTTTCACCAATCAAAAGCCTTATACAGAATTTTGTACGCAAAACCCATCCACAATGGGTACTTTATCTCCAAGTTGAATCCCCGATCAGCACTCGTAATCCAGGTTCAGGTGGACTTCGATCGGGTCTTTAATGTTGGCGAATGGCGGAAGTCGGCATTTCGACCGTTTTTGAATATAATCCTAAAAAATCATCTTCAAGAAGTTTGGGTGACTTAGATTTCCCAAGGCCGCAATACCGATATTGAAACAGACAGGTCCTTTGCTATATCTTGTATTCGCAAGCATACGAATTTTCATAGCCTGGTTGAATCTTCGACTGATATCTATATAAACAGTGAGCAGCAGTCATTATTAAATTTGAATGGATATTACAACCGGAAAGAATCTTGCGAAGGACATGACAAAGGTGTCTTTGAACTAGTACGAGACGGCTATCGTCCGCGTGTGATGCTCTTTTTTAGTCTTGTTTGTCTAGGAAATTATAGCTATGGGTATGCCAATTTCGACATGGAGATGATCAGCGAGTACCGAAGCAAACGGGGCATTGAGAGACGAACTTATACAGATTACTTGTACGCCGACAGACATCGTGACAGCAGGTACGAGTACCATGTTACCACGAAACGACAAGGATATTCGTTCATAACATGCTATTCAAGGGAAGTATTGTCATTTAAGGTTCTGGTTGCACCATTCGGTGTCCAAGTATGGATTAGTATAATGGCGTTTATGGTAATAGTAACGATGGTCGTAGCCATTGTTTTTGTAACCAAAGAGAAACATGGTTGCTTGGAGGCGATATCTATGGCTCACCTGATAACTGTATCGATCGTTCTTGTCAACCCGACTGAAATATCGAAGAAAAGTTGGCACTGGTTGGCAATCAGGATCCTCTTAGGAAATTCGATACTTCTGTTTCAAATAATGAGTAATGCTTATCTTGGGACTGCGATTACTGCAATATCAGCCCCATTAGAGTCAAAGTCAGTTACACACTTTGAGCAGCTGGCGAAACCCGGATGTGAATGGGGCAACGAGAAGTGTCATGTAGCTAGATTGAAAGGATTCAAGAAATATGTCGAACTAATCTATAACCACGTGGAAGTCGTATGGGACCGGAATAAGCACGATGATGCGTACTATGTCGGACTTGGTATAAAATTCGACCATGACAGAAACCGGACTCTTGAAACCTTACGGAATCATACAATTCGTGGATTTGATATCGATGCAGATTTTGTCTTGTTGCCATATTCTATCGAGGCCAACGTGTCAAAGAAGAAACTAACCAGGAACAATTTCTATAAAGAGCTAGAGACATACTTGAAAAGAAGGGTGATAGATATTACGAAGGCATTCGAATATACGAACCAAAGAATAAACACTAGCTCCATTCATACCTTGCGATTATTCGACTTGCTTGATCCGTTGCACATACAACATCCCTTACTTGGAAATTTATCTGACATGAAATACTTTGAAAACGAGTGGTCTATTGAGCGTGCCCTCGTTCAGTGTGGAAGGACTGCGATAATTCTAGACGATATTGAAGCGCAGTGGGAAATACGCTATTTTCGTAAGCACTATGCATGGCTCAAATTCTTTAAGTCGCAGTCGTCTATTCTAACTTCGGAGGCGGGATGGGATTTTAGTGTCCAACTGAATTCAGTCATTCCAAAAATATTTGGAAGATTGTATACCACTGGTATTGTACAACTATTGGAGGCGTGGCCGCACCCAGTGTCCAAGAGGCGACAGAATATTACGAGAAATGTCTATGCCCTGGAGACGCAGAATAAAGAACGAGTCGATGCTGTTAAGAAAATTCGTTTGAGTGGGAGCATCCAAACAATATTTTGGATATTCCTAGGACTCTCGTTAATTTCGCTTGTCGAGGGTTTAATATTGGAGATTAGAATACAGAAGCAAGCATGGAACTGTATGCTTGTATTCGGCGCATGGTTGGTAAACATGTACAAATATGTGGCTGCAATACATGTGTGTAACATATGGAAAGCCTTAAAGTCTAAACTGAAATTGTGAGAGCTATAAATTATTCGAGACCAATTGAGAAATTGGTATGCTAAGTAAAGATTGTTATTAGTTATGATTTGCATTTATTGGACATCGAATTTTAATTCATCCGATGATACACTGCACGCTAATAGATTTATCTCCCTCGCCACATGAAATTAAAACCTACCTATTGGTTTTGAGTAACTAAATTTTGTTAACAACTAGATATTTCGAGTAGCCAATTAAACTTTAGTTTTGCATGCACGATAGTACTTTAGTGCGATTAAAGAAAGTTAAGAGATGAATAATTTCAAAAAAGGTTAGCCTAAGCTGAAAAATTGCAAGCACTCTTTCTATTGTCCTTATGCAATAAAGATACCAAAGTTAGGAACTTGTGGACCACGTATGTCTTAGTTATGTGAGGTTTGGCTCAATTGTATTGAATTGTGTTGATTACAATTTGGGAATTAATAAAAACGAAAATTATTCAACTTCCAACAAAACAATTTCTTAATGCGTGTTTAATAGTGCTTAATTTACTATCGCTCGTGACTGACAAATATTGTACCTTTGAGATGAAAAGTAGAGATATGGCTCAGGTCATCAATTTCTACCGATCCATACAACAATTTAAAAATAAGCTTTCAAAGGCTTAAATAGCCATGTAGCTTTTGGGTATTATATTTCGCATAGCCAACAATTGCAAATTATTTCGTGACAGGAAATGAAAATGAGAAAACCTGTGACTATCTTGGGTATGCGTCATTTTCGTGGACCATGCAAATGAAAAGGACAATAACTGATAATAGACTTTGGGATTGAAATATCTCTCATTTCAATCTCAGAACTATTTTATTTGTTAGCCATACATGAACCTGACTGATATTAAATTATGGAATGGAGAATTTGCAACTCAGTAGGAGTCTGGCATGACGAAGGTAATCTTCATCATAATGGCGGTCGCCAAAGCAGGTAATTAAATTTAAAATGGAGAAATATCGCTTCTTAAGTATGGAGTAAATCAATTTTTGCTGGGTGAAAAATTGGCCAGGTTAAAACCCACTTGTCACTTTCTGACATAGACCCGACTTTCACTTGTCACAATTTGGCGATTACATTTGTGGCTGCATAAATATGCAAAAAATATAAAACACTTGGTTGCCGTTGGAGAATAAAAAAGCAAACCCATGTTGAGTTACATTAATTCGGGTAATTTGAAACATAGCTCGCAATAAAATGGTCCCTGGTACCCAAGGCACCAGGTTCCCCTGCGAGCTATTGTTTGAGTTTGCAATAAAAATTTTGAATTTTCCAGTAGGATTCCATGCCGACTATTTGGCCCCTTGCAATTCCACATCACACTTAAGTAAACTCGATTACACGTATTGTTTGGACGGAGTCTGTCAATGTCCGCCTAATAAGGCCCCGGCGATAGTTTGGCGGGACTTTTATTGTCAAGGTGGGTGCAGTTTCCTGCCAAAAGTTTGTTGTAGGGGTTTATAATTTTAATTTTACACAGTTTGTTGGAAACGCTAAAATGTAATCTTGATTTTACTCCTTGCAGATATTGTGCAAATTGGACGGATTTCCACGATTGAAGTACGCAAATAATATATATATATTTTGGCAAGTTTTGTTGAAAAATGTTCATTCCTTTACTCATTCATAATTTGGAAAAAATTATTTGTTGTTCAGTATTCCTTCAGTATTCATTTTATTGAAAACTCACGGTATTGGATGAGTTTCTCAACTTTCCCTGCGTAGACAACATAGAGTAAAAAATGAATGATGAAAAAATATTTCTTCTTTATTCATTCACACCAATGGAAAAGATATTCATTCAGTATTCATTTATTCGTAAATCCGAATATGTAAAATTTTTATTAAATTTTTGAATATCGAATGAATAATTTATTATTTCATCATTAAATGAATGGATGTATGCGCACATGACAGGACCATCCCTGGGTAATTTCGAACGCGTCGTGCCTCTCCTCCAAGATGGCGGTGGCCAAGTCGTGCCGCCAGAGTCCCTGCTATTCCGGGATCTTATTCGAGCTCTTGCGCAGTGCGGACGAGGACGGAAAGTTTCTGGACAATTGCACAATCACGGAGGTCAGTTCGCTTGGACGGTTTCAATCCGGGGCTTGGACGAAGAACTCAATCATGGATCACCTTGCGGCTAATGTATGATTTAAATCACTTTGTTCATCTAATTTTAATCTTTGATTTTTTTGATTTATTCATCACATATGTATAGTTACTTTTTTAATTTCTATGGAAATTAAAGAGTTTGATGTTGCAATATCAAACTCAACCTTTAAAAATTTTGATTTTTTCCGGAACATACCACTGGTTAGATAAGAAGAATGTATTAATAAAAAATTAGTTGAATTTTGTAAATGACAAAACCGTAATGTATGTAGGTTCAGGAAAATTACCAAAACAGAGCAAAATTTATTTTTTTTGCAACACTTTGAATGCTTTTGAGGGCGCAAATAGGGCCCTTGTGTATGTATGATCCTCTGCCAGTTTTCGTGCACACCTTAGAAATACCCAGCTTCAAAGACATCACTCTTTTCAGAAAACTGATCTGGGGCTAGCCATTTTCAACGAACCGACCTTATCGCAAGATGTTAAGGCGGCGGTCCATTTCGAATCCATCCTGGTGGGAGACTCCAGGTACAATATTTCTCTAGGGATCGCCTTCCCCAAGTCGTTTAATAAAAAGCGTGCTGACGAATTGGACAACAGGTGAGAGATTACTGATTAAATGCAACAATTAATTAACTTACATTTATATCAAGATTTAATCTACCATTTAAATTAATGTGATCTATTAGAATCACAGAGATGACTGATACCGGCCGAGCTGGAGAGATCTTTGATAAATATTTCCTCAAGGATGGACCCACTCTTTGGAAGAGGGAGAAACAGTTGACGACATTTAAGCCGAGACGGGTCGTTTATTGGGTGTAGCTTTATGGGAAATTCGTGTCATTCCATGAACTTTTCCAAAATAAATTGTGTATGTGCAGAAATTGGAGCAATAAAGAAAATTAGGTGGATTTGATGACGTGCTAGCTTTTTGAAATAATCCTCCCTTATAAAATCCCATTGTGACTCTTTCATTCATTCATTCATTCATTCATTCACTCCGAAGCCGAATAGATTTTGACAAAATTTTGACAAAACTTTTGTCAAAAAAATAAAGCGAAAATTTTGACTAGAAATTCTTTATGGCGACGAATGACAAAACTTTTGACAAAAAGTTGAAGCAAAAATTGGTTCTCGGAATAGCTTATGCGGTTCAATGACAAAATTTTTGACAAAAAATTTAAGTAAAAATCTGGTCGATCTGATAATTTCCATGGTTTTAATAGACTTATATGACGGGCGCGCCATGCCCGTCCTTGGACGGGCCTTATTAGTGGCCTTAGGTCACTATCCTCAATTATAAAATCCCATTGTGGCTCTTTCATTCATTCATTCATTCATTCACTCCGAAGCAAACTAAAGTTGACAAAACTTTTGACAAAAAATTAAAGCAAAACTTTAACGTAAATATCATTTTGGTTGTTATGTCGTTATGGCGGACTCTATTACTGCACAGACAACAGTTAGCCCGAGTCATTAGCCCGAGTCAGGGCTTATGTAACCTCTTTGTCCGTCTGTCGTATGTCTGTCACGACGATAACTTTTCTACTTAACCGATTGACTTGAAATTTGGCACACACTTAAAACATGTAAAATGAAAGGCTAAGTTCGAAGATGGGTGAGATTGGTCAAGTGGTTGACCAGTTGTGGTCATCTAGCGTGGTGGGGGTACTATGCCTCAAATTTTCAAAATTGTGCTAGAGAGCTGAAATTTGGCATGAACGTTGCTATTGGATTATACTAAAAGAATATGGAGTAAAATTAGGAAAATTTTAATCTGGGGGGACCCTGTTGGGTGACCCCCAACGATTTTTCAAAATCATCCAATCGAGCTGAAATTTGGCATTTAGGTTCTTAATGATTTGTGATAGAGAATTATAAAGTGAAATTGTTACAAAAATTAACCAGAGGCACCCTATGAGGTGACCCATACCGATACTTAAGAGTTGTGAGATTTGGTTGAAATTCGGTACGGTGTGTATTGATATATTTACGTGTTGATAAATAAAGTGCATTCGCCCGTCGTTATGACGGGCTTTCCTACTAGTTTTTATATGTTTTAGGAGTAGAATCCACTGTTTGTTTAACGGTCTGCGCCGTACATGTTCAAAAAAACTTTATTGATTAAAAATATTCATTCCTTATTTGGTCATTAATAATTTGGAAAAAACGTTATCTAACGTTTATTCACTACTCATTTTATTCAAAATTTGCAGTATTAGCCGAATTTCTCAGTTTCCCTATGTGTTAAGCACAAGTAAAAATGAATGGTGAAAATTTTTTTTTCATTATTCACTCACACAGAGATTCATTTTTCATTTATTAAAAACTCAGATAAAAATTCAATTCAATATTCATTTAATTTTTGAATATTGGATGGATTGAACTTGGTCGCGAATTGTGGCAAATTATAATCTCTAGGACTCCCACACCCAATCGACGGCAAGGATGTTTTCGTAAACAAATGGGTAGCTGGAATATGTATGTAGTTTGCAATACTTCTTGTACCTCAAGGTAGGATTCGAAGTTGCCCTGGGCCTGAAAATAAGTGCCTGGACATGCCTGAATACCCTATATCGTCGTGCTAGTTCTAAACAGCCATAAGTTTCATCGAGTAGGGTTAGGTTACAAGCGCGTGTAACCTAACCATACTCCATGGTTGTAAATTGGTGTTTATATAACTGAAGGCAAGTTTAAATATGAAAGCTTTTAAGATGGAAAAGTAAATTTGTACACAATAACAGCCTGTAAAATATTCATTATCATGAATAATGAAGGCAGGATCCCACCTCCTGGACATATCATAAATACATTTTGGAATTTCCAAAATTTTAATTTAATAAACTAAACGAAATTCGCTTATGGAATAATTTACGTGCTAAAGTGTGCTCATTAATATTTATCAGAGTTTGAATTATTTCATAACCAGTTGGAATTTTGCACTTCTCTTTTTTAGCCTTAAAAATTCAAGTATTCAATTTGTATAGGTTAACGAGAAATTACACGTGCAATTTAGACGATACAAATAAGTAGGTATAATTTGCTCGTGGATTAAATTATTTTGATCAAATGCTCGCCTTGAATATTGTTAAACTTATTATGTGAATTTGACCAACTGTATGTAATACAATATTGTGCAAGTACTATTGCGAAGTGGGTATTCATGAGTGCGTGGTTACTTTCGTAGTCTTTGTATTGCAAGATATGTAAGTTGCTACAATTACAAGATTATGTTATAAGGTTGGGAATCGCGTCACCATCGTAACAATTTATATTAAAATTGAGCACTTGTTTTTTTCTTCGCAAACCATTTAACAATACTCAGGATACAACTGAATCATGAATACCCCGAATACATTCATGTGAGATATCACCTGAACTACAATACTCGATTTACTTAAAAAGCGGTTGGGTTCTGATTCTTTACATCAATCCATCTCAAGATTTGGAAATCGGTGTCAGCCCCGACCAGTGGTGGTTTATATTTTAAAGTAAAATCCTGCCCGCAATAAGATTAAAATACAAAAAAAGCTCTTCTTTATAGACAATCAGAGATGATTTGTTTTTTAATTTTCACTTTTCTGATACTTTCAGTTGTGCATACATCTGCACAGGTAACTTTGATTAGACCAATTATTTTAATATTTAACAGATTACGTATTTATTTTTAGCATGGACAGCACTGCCTTACTCCAGAAAAATCTTCAAAATTGCGGATGAAACCTTTAGGGTAGATTTTATCATGATATTAATGTTAATGTAATTTTTATAAATTAAAAATATCTAAAAATTCCAGAGCATAGAAGCAAACACAACGTTGCAAGATGTGAATACTGCTTGTCTAACCGCAATTTTCAAGGTACGTAAAATATTATGCATGATTAAATGGATATTAACGCGTAAGAAAATATGTTTTTTTAGAATAGATTTAATTTTGACGATTTCTTAATTTTAGGGAAATGTTGCGTTGTGTGACCGAAAGTTATTTACCTTACCACAAGTAATTTTTCGTTTTAATTAAAGTTAGACCTGCATTTTCAAAAAATTGATTGTGTATTTCAGGCAAAATCTTGCGAGGAAGTTGTTAACCATGAGGGTTTTTGCTCATCACCTCCATCCCATGGCGGAACACAATCTGCAAAGTATTTCACGCATGCGACACCCTCTATAAGCCAGCGAGCCTGGTATTATGGGAACTAAATGCGGTCGTTGTAAATTGCGACATACTAATTAGTTCTGGGACCCCGACAAATTTTTCAAATGGACCGCATTTCTGTGCCGAGTTGGAAGTACTGGACCACATCAATCCACAAAATGTCTTGAATTCTGGAATTAGCACGTATTGTGCTCTTAAGTCTCGACAAACTGTTGAGTGGGCAGCATCGCCACCAAATTATTTTGGGTACCCAGGAAACCAATGGCCAGTACTTTGTCCGGAAATTGGTAGCAATGAACTTGATTCTGAGATTAGGGAGGATTATGGGTGGGCTGGAAATATAAAATTCCGTAAAATGATATCAGGTAAACCATTTGTGGTGGTGGAGTATTTTAGTTCAACCGGGCTTCGCGAAAACTTAACGGTAGCGGTGACAGAATAAACGTTGGTTTTTTCCATGGATATTTGGATGGAAGTTGTCTTTGTATTTTAAATTACCTGAGAACCAAAATAATAAAAATAATAAACACTGGTTTTTGTTCAGTGAATGATTAGATATAAATATTTTCCAAGGGTAATTTCAAATTCGCAGACGCAAGATTTCATTAGAAGTTTTTCATTTCTGAATGGTGACCTCAGGACGTATAGTTTATTAATATTCAACATCGGTTATGCACTGAAAATAACGTGGTAGTAAATCATTACCGTGCGGAGAGGTCAAAACATCTCAGCCGCCTGAACCTCATTCATCTCCCTCTTTCCCATCGTCGACCGCTCGTTACAAGTATCGTCGTCACAGATTGACGAAAAGTGATTTTTGCACGGAAATTCTTTCACATTGTTGGAAAAAGCCATATGTTGTGCACATTTTTGCATAGGTGAGGCTTAATGACCCGTTGAAAATAAATCGCTGCATGAATTCAAATGAAATTTTGAGGAGTTATAGATGTACATATTGCCGAGTTATTTTGACACATCAGTGGTCAATATACCGCATTCCGTCCGGTGTAACAAAGGTTTAATTGGAAGGACGCGATTTTGGCTTCGCCACTCGTTTATGCAACTCGTTTGATTATTCCTCTCATCACCTGCGCAAATCCTCTGAAATTTTTCAGTGAGTTTTGTCGCCTGGAATATTCTCTCTTGATTTATGCCAACAATCGTTAAATTAGATGCGTCTGAGGTACGTTGGAGCGTTACAGTTCTTTCTGCAAAATCAACTTTTTTGGTTCGGCGAGAGTTGGCCACAATATACGCGTAAATAAAACCTCTCCTCGTCCTATACCAACGCAAGACATGCTTGATTCTATGTGCAGCCTGTCTCATCTGTTTTTAGCCCAGCGGGCGCTCGCGCAAACAATCGTTTATAACTTTTTCAAAAACCAGGTGACAGCTTTCATATTTTTTATACAATGAGGTCAAAGGTCAAGGAAGGACGTGAGGTGACTCGGGCTTGTATTCAAGCCTTCAGTGCTGTAGGATACAGCGAGAGACAAATAGCGTCAGAAATAGGATGTTCTCGAGGAACTGTTAAAATCTGGAAGAATAAAAAATTTGCAAAGCACAAAATGAAGCCAAAAAAGTCGGTAAAGTTGTCCCCTTCCGCAAAAAGATCAATTAAGTCTCATATGTACCGGAAAACTAATACTTCTGTGCGCAAGTGCCAAAGACGTCTATATTTCTAAGAACGGTATCAAAGAAAAAATAAGACAATTAGTAGGAGCACAGTACAAAGGTGCCTAAAACAAACCGAATGGGGACGCAAGGCTTATAGAAGACCGAAAAAACCGTTACTGGGTCAAAAAAATGTTGCGGATAGAACAAAAATTTGATGAAATGGTGCGAAAACAGGGTTTTTTTGGACGACGGAAGACTTGGACAGGGAAAACGGGCTGGAATTTTTTTTCGTATAAATCATAGGTAGAATTACTTGGAAGGACCTCACGGTATAGGACAAAAGAACAAAATGATGTTCAGCCGATTTTAAGACCGAAACACATTCCAAAACTGATGGTTGCTTTAGGATTTTGTGCAAGAGGGGTAAGCAACCTGCCTATAGTATCAAAAGGCTAGACTATCACAGGAAAGACCACAGGGAATCAATTTCGCCTGTACATACTAACGCTATGGACTCTTCTGTATTATTGCCCAACAAGAGAAAAATAACTTTCCAAGATGGTGCCCCAGCCACACCGCAAAGCCGACACAACAGTTTTTGGACACTCTACCTTGTACCACATGGGGTAAGGGGGTGTGGCCAGGATATAATCCAGACCTTAACCCAATAGAAAGCTTGTGGGCTATTCTGAAGGATTCTGCTTATGAAGATCCTCAACCCAAGAATTTGGAGGAACTGGAGGCTCGTTTTCGTCAAAGGTGGTTTTCACGTCCGGTTGAGCTATTGGAAATATTGTCATAGACGTTTAAAACCAGGATTGAGGAAATACTAAACAACAATGGTGGGCGCACTTGATATCAAGGTATACACCATAAAAATTTCAGGGGCCTACTACATATATTCTCTGAGATAATATCAACTAAAGTTTGTCCTTTCAAGGTGGGCTAAAATCAGATGAGACAGTCTGTAATTAAGGGGATCAACCTCTTCATGACGCATACTCTCGGGTGCCCTTTAAGATTCAACATCTAAGTGATAATGAATGATTTCGAAACCCTTTTATTTTCATCCAGCGCAAGCCAAGCCATATTTTTAGGAAAATTTCTCATAAGCTTAAATTTATATTTTTACATTTACATTTTTTTAGTTAGCTCATGAGTAGTTCTTTACGTGGTAAACACTTTCGGGACCCACAGGGTTCTAGGTTTCGTCATCCATGACGATGAATCCTGTGGTACTTTGCTCAAGAATTGCTTCACACATTTTCAGACCGTTGGTATTGACATGAAGTTTTGACCTTAGTAAAAATTTTTGACTAATTTGGCTTGATACATCTTGAAGCCCAACTTCTTGGCTTTAATATGCCACACACATAATCTTGATATTCCTAACCTGTTCCCCAAAAAGCATTTTGGACTGTTTGGGTTTTTGGTAACGCGTTTTCCAAGCTCTTCCAAGCTCAAGCACCAATTTCAATGACTACAGCTGAACAGGATGACCAAATTTTTCTTTGCAATAATCGTTTTCTTATTCACTCTATATGTGTTGTACAGATTAATTATTGTAAAGTCCATTCCTTCGAAGAGAAAATTCGAACGAATGTTTTTCCGGTCATGAAAGAACGCGTTTTCGTACGAGTGGCAAACTCTGTTTTCAACTTGTTTTGGCTTTCTAGCTACCATTTCTGAACGGACTAAGATATCTTAATTTGGTTTTCTGATCCTGTTAGCTCATTAAATTTCGCATTTAACACTAAGTTTCAAAATTTTAGCTTTCCCGCCAACAAAGATAAACGCATGGGAAACCTGTTGCCATACATATTTCCCACCCTATACATGCTTAGAGGGTGTAAAATAAGGTTTCCTTCTCATATGTACCCTCGCCAGCGATTTGTTTGAATTCATTCGTCTGTAGCTTCTGCATCTGCTTTTTTGGCAACATGGGGCCTAAGGTGACTGTGGGCATTTTTTCTTAGTGAGGCAACCAGGCAACAAAAAATCACGAAGTATGCATTGACTATACCCCAAAAAAGTGACATTGTCAGATTTCTCAGTCAATTTTTAACCGATTTTGATGAAATTTTTAACCAGATCATTGTTATGCAAGTTAAATTCCAGATCTGGTCAGGTTAGGTTAGGTTAGGGAATATCTTAAGTCTTACGTGTTTTATACGATAAAATATGCCGAAAAATGCAATTTGTCACACATTTAAATTTATTGCTAATTACTGATACACAGTAGATGTTTTTCTGAAGAACCACTTCTAATGCTAACAATTGTGCAAATTTAAAGCGCTTTGTGATCAAAATCGATTAAGAATTGACAAAGATATTCAAGTTTTAAATCCGAAAAGATGAATGGGAATTGGTAAATACAATGGTAAAAAATAATGTCATTGACAACGTGTATGCAAGTAAAATCAAAGTGCAAACAAGTAGAAATGTTTTCTTAAAAAACGGTCTCAGGTGAGGACTATGAACTAAAGCCCATAACTGCTTAGTTTGGTTGCTAATATCAACCTTATTTGAGGTTGATAAAAGTAGAATTTAAAAAAGTAGCTGCAGATGCCACCATTAAAAGTTTTTCATTTCTCAACCGATAAACGCCGGATTTGTTTTAATCTAAGCCTAATTAGATGCTACACCATAATTTCTAATCAAAGCAGTACATTAATCCGAAAAAAGTCGTGCATAACTCGAGTACAAAGTTTAAAACCTGTTTAAAATGAAGTAGGAGTAATTTATTGCGGCGTTTGAATTGAAAATATAGTGCCCATCGTCCTTCCGCGCAATTTTTGCTTTGAGAGTTTTTTTGTACCACAAACCCATCGACTCCTATCTTTGTGCACGCAATTAGAGAGGTGGGGGGTCTAAAAGCAATCTAAGGCTTCGCCGTAACCATGACATTTTTAATGCACCATGGTAACTTTCCTGACCTGAGAAAAATGCAGAAAAATCAATAATTTTGATCTCTTTCATTGCATTTGGAGGAATGTGTGATGTTTTATAAATAACCCAATTACAAGTATTAAATAAACAAGGTCCCAGAAAAGGGAAAATCTTAGTGAGGATTGGCACAATTACAATATTAAATACATTTTGGTTGCAGAATGTTTGCATCACTGCTCTTGAACTATCATTGGATATACGAATAACTTTATATGAACTGAGGATATAAATTTTTTCTGAGATATCATTTATTAGTAAACATTCAATAATTGTCAAGAAAAAATTTTGGATTCTGAGGTTTCGAACCGGCTATACTTAAGTAAATGATGAATTGCAAGATAATGTTTCGTATATCCAGGTAAATGGTCAGAGAGCGGTAACGCAAGCATTCTCCAACCAAAATGTATTCAATATTGTAATTGTGCCAATCCTCACTAAGATTTCCCCTTTTCTGGGACCTTGTTTATTATGCTATTGACCTAAAATTTGTTATGAACAATTTTGATACATAGTATTGTGTACATCTGTTATGAATTTCAACTTGAAGTCCCCACTTGAGCCTAAAATATCGCAAGTTGAAATCGATCTCAGAGTCCTCTTTGTATACGTAGTATTGTCACCAATACGATGTCACTCTTATGTCACCATTACTTGTGTCACTAGCAGTAGTCAAAAATTATTGTTATGAGCATGAAAGTATGTTACGGTGGGACTATTTTAGTTAATTTAGATTTAAATTTAGATTTGTAACTTTATTGGCTATGGTTGAAAAAGTTTGAACAAATAAAATACATACATTTGAATAAATAGTGGAGAAAATGTAATAAGCCATATTGTGGGGGGGGGGGTAGGATTATCAGAGGGGACGAAGTAGAGATTTCTGGCAAAGGAGGAGGAGGCAGATTATGGGCACGGGGAGGCATCTTCTTAATCTTGATCTGCATTGTAGTTTAATAACCTTATTAATT